GTTGAGGTGACAATATCACGGCCTCGTTACATATACACGCTACAGGTTCTTTTTTATTTATTTATTTTTTAGCCCCGCTATAATGCTTTCTTTTCTTGGTATTAGTTCAACTCCCACTCCGTTTCCCTTCGACCTATATTTTCTCCAGATATGATAGGCTTTGTTTTACATAGCCTTTGGAGGGGCTCACTTTGGATTCAGTGATACTAGGAAACAATGCACAAACAAGATTTATTGAAAATGTCTCCTAATCCTCCTGGAATTTGTGAACAAGGGCCACCACTTGCCACCAGATGTGAAGGTAAGACCGCTGTCGCCAATTATGAACGAGTCGGGAGTGGTCTTAGTGCAGGTGAATGAAAGGGGTCTTGGCTTAGGTTTATTATGGAAGGTGAAACCCCTGCATCCTCTCGGTCGAGAACGTGGTGGTGGAGAGGGAGACCCTGTGTGCCTTCGTCTGTCTGACGGGTCGTGTCCTTCAATGTAGGGTCTGCCTTCGAGGACAGGTGTTTGTTTCCGCCCGATGAAGTGTCAGAAGTGAAAGCAGTGCGGACACTTGCTACAGGAAGGCAGCTGATGGGGACAGAAGTATGAGGCCTACCATCCGATCTTGGTGGTTGTTGTTTACAGATTTCAACTTAGGTCTGAAGAGGAAAGGGAGAGGAGGGAGTCGAAGAAAGAAAAAGAAAGAGAAGCAACGCGGTGAACATCGCAGAAGACGACACGTGAACGGAAGCGAAGGGTGGTCAGGTTATGTCGAAGGATCAGGCGGTCTTTGCGAAGGGTGGCCGGTATAAGGGAGTAGGTGAGGAGACTGTCGGCAGGAGAAAAAAACGCTGATCAAGTTGAAATTAGGTAGCAGCCTAATGAAGGATTCCACCGGTCTACGGATGTGGCCATAAACAGAAAGAAAGAATTCACGCAGCTGACCAATCCATCTGATGGCCTGTGTTCCACTGAAGGCAGAAGAGGACGTTGTGGTGTCCTCGGAATACCCAGCATGTTTATTGGCACCTGTTTCACCAAAGTACTGTTTATCACAGGAGCCTTAAGGAACTGCATAGGTGCCCATATCCGTGGAGGGTTATTGTGGATCAGGTTACGGCGGAGTGTTTACCTGGGGAAAGTAAGGCAGGCTGATAACGGGCAGACGAGGAGTCTCTCTATGAGAGTTGTGTAGAAAGTACGCCGCGCCCTGGGTAATGCGACGTCATGAACATGACGAGGCTAGTCCAGTTTAGAGAACGAAACAGGTACTGGGGTCAGATGGCAACACCTCTCTTCACATGGAGTGGATGGTACGAGTGTATGCAGATTCCACAATGCATAGGGGTCCTGTATATAAAGAAGTGGTCAGCAGAGTGATGAATAAGGCTCTAGGGCAGTGGTTCTTAACCTGGAGGGCTTTGGTATTTTCCAAAGGAGGAGCGAGCCCTTGGAAAAAAGCTAATTCCTCTAATTATGTTGTTCGTCTCATAACGAGAGCATGGACATATATTGGAAAGTTTAATGATAAAGCAATTAATTTATATTCACTAATTAGACTAAAGTACTTAAGATTTTCTTTAAAATCTGGGCGGAATTTTTATTTACAGGTGCATGGGAGGCGTGGAGGGAAGGACAAATTCCTAAAGATAGCGTGGTAGTCCAAGAGTTAAGAACCACTGCACTAAGATGCCCAAGAAAAAGAGCTTGCTCTCAGCCTCCCATTCCATCTTGAAACGGATGGAGGGAGAAAGTTCAGATTCATCGGAAAATACGAAAACTTGGCAGGGCCAGAGAGCAAAGGCGCCGACAAATCTCGGCCAAACCGAAGGACGAAGGGAAATAAAAGGGAGAAGCTCAGACTCGAAGTACTCCATGAACAGGTTTGCCTGGACTGGAGAGAGGAGAGCCTTTAGCAACACGTCTGGGAATAGAATCAACCCCCAAAGGAAAAGGAATTGGACTCCACGCACAGACAAAGCACCTGGAGAAAGACGTCAGTGGGCAGAGTGAGACGAGGATCATCGGGGGAGCTTCCTCTAGAGGAAAGCGGGACCCTGGTGAATAAGGAGTCGACATCCAAGCTCATCCTGGTTGCCTACGAGACACCAAGGACACAGAAGGTAATGTCCTAAGAGTAGCGAAGGTCAGCAGAATTAAGGTGCCAAAAGGGGACAAGAGGTCACGCCACAGATTGCTAAGTTAATGTGTCTCAATATTTTGGTTCCGGAATGTTATGCTTGGATTTTATTTCCTTCCTCTGTCAGTTGGGTTAGTGTGTGCGTGTGCATGTGCTCAGTACTTGCGCGTATGTTAACACTGTTAGCACAAAGAAATTATGATTTATAGAGTTAACATATCCCGTTAACTAATTTCATCTCCAGACAGCGTGAGGGGAGGTGGATCTGCAACTGCAGTCTCGCTTCCCAATAGGCCTAAACCAATGCACCACAGAGAAAAGCGACAGCGTAAAATATAATACAAGAATGAATTAGATATTGCCATGTTTGCCCTTCAAACAACCATTTTCTATCACAAACTCCTAATAAACTCTGCTGCATCATTGAGAAGGTCGCAGTCACGTGCTATATATATATAACCATCCAAGAGATAAGCAGCTGCTTTATCCTTATCAGTAAAGTGCCCAGATATTCTTCATTTTATACATAACTACCATCGGTAACGTATGTCTTAGTAATTATGATGTAAATAGTTCTTTGTTTTAGGGATATAATTTCAGTTTCGTATTTCATGTTGCCGATGGATTGGTGAAATCAGGGACATTGTTCTATAATTCATGTTAACAATCAAGGGATAAGAATGGTTTATAAAAAGAAAACCGGCCTTCTTTTCCTTGTTACTAACCAATACTTATATATACATGGTGGTGTTGGTCTTTGCTGAAGTGCCGGCAAGTCACGGTGATAGTTTGGTAGCATTTATCACTAGGTTAAGTTAATGTACTTGTGTTTTATTTTCAATTGCCGTTGCTATATTATGTGAAAGTCTGTGTAATTCATTAGTGTGATGATTCCCTTAACTGCTCGGCAACTAATATTTTCTGAGTTGTATTGCAACAGGTGGAAACATGGTGTATATTGCAACTGCATATATGTATAGGTATAAGAGACTCTTTCTGTCTGTCTGTCTGTGTCTCACACTCACACTCTCACTCTCACTCTCACACTGTCACTCACACTCACCCTCTCACTCTCATACTCACCCTCTCACTCTCACACTCACTCTCACACTCATACTCATTCTCATTCTCATTCTCACTCTTGCACTCACTCTCACTCTCTTTCTCACACTCACTCTCACACTCACACTCACTTTCACTTTCACTTTCACTCTCACTCTCTCATTCTCACACTCACTCTCACTCTCACTTTCACACTCACACTCACTCTCTCATTCTCACTCTCACCCTCACTCTCACTCTCATTCTCATTATCACTCTCACTCTCACACTGTCACTCACACTCACACTCATTCTCACTCTCACTTTCACTCTCACTCTCACTCTCTCACTCTTACATTCACACTCACTTTCACTCTCACTCTCTCATTCTCACTTTCACACTCACACTCACTCTCTCTTTCTCACTCTCATTCTCACTCTCTCACTATCACACATACAAAAAAAAAGAAGAAGAAAAAACATATGCATACATATATTATTTCCATTAAAAGATGATTTATCCTGATATAACATCTTTGCCAAATTTTACAGGAGTCAAGATGAAGGTTGCTGCGAATTTATCCTTCATGTTTGGAGAAGCAGGAGGCCTTCTGGCGAGGTACAAAGGGGCAAAAGAGGCCGGATTCCAGGCCGTAGAGTGCGCCTTTCCATACACCGTCCCCGCTGAGGAAGTGGCTGCAGCCTTGAAAGAACTCGAGTTGAAGCAAGTTCTTATAAATTCAGACCCAGGTGAGGTTCCGCCTGCAATAATGCTTGGTAATTCTTTGCAGTATGGATGTAGTTGCTGGAGACTAAGTCCTCCGTTCCACATCGCAAAATTTATTCAACAGGGAGTGCCGTGACAGGGCATGCCCCTTGGAAACTGCCTGAGGGAAGGGTTGATGGGGGGCTGTGACCCACCAGTACACCCCTGTCAAACATTGTCTCCACCTTGGTATATGTGGCAAGATAGAGCTGAAACTCAGAAGGACTGAGTGGCCTTAGGCAGTGAGCAGTGGTTTTCAGGATTTTTATTTTTCATGTCTGCAGATAATTTATGGTTCAAGAATATCAATAAAAAATAAAAATGCCCTTAATGAAAACTATTAACTATTAATTGTTTTTACAGAGATGGGCTACACTTGTACTAAGTCACCAGTGAACCAATTATGAGTACTGCCTGTCTCATCTGCTTACCCTTTTCCTTGATTTTTTAAAAGATTGTTATCTTATATTGCTATTACTAATATCTATAACATTATGGTAGTTATAATGTCTGTTATAAAAATAGTACCATCAATATTCATGGCATTAGTGATAAAAATGTTTTTCCTGCCAATTCAAGGAAATCAGCTAAGGTCACAAGGTCTACTAATTGACTCCTTTGTGGCTAATCACTAGTAGAGCCATCTGTGTGCAGATATATTTTGCCAATAAAGAAGAAGAAGAAGAAGAAGAAAGTTTTGATCTCTCCAGGGAAAGGAAAGCAAAATTCCACCATGTAAATTCTAGCATGAAAAAGCTTATTGACGTCCCTATTAATATGACAACAAATTAGGAACCATTTTTAGCTCCAATTTGCCAAATGTATTAAGTGAAGGTTCGTTGTTCCTCACTGAAGTAATCATAGTCAAGAACCACCTGAGCATGGGGTGTCAGAAGTCAGGGTAGTTGGGCATCAGGCACCCATCAGCAATACAGAATAACTGTGACAATAAATATCATTAATTGCCCAACAGTTTTTGAGTGCTAACTTTTGTCTGACTGTGGCAGATGGGTGCAATTGAGGTTCAAGAACTACCTATCAAATAAGGTTATCATGGTCATTTGTTGCATATTGTTTACTACTAATATCAGTCATAGTATGTTGTTATTTGCAGAGAATACTAGTTCTCTATTATCTTATATGAAATGCATCATTTAATATTTCTGATAAATCATTTTTTGAATCCTATTTATTTGTTCTTTTTGAGATTTTTGTCAGTCCTCTTTTTTAATATACTGATTTCATCCTATGTCTTTGACTTTATAAATGTGATGTCTGATGCCTCTAAATCAGACATCAGCATCCTCAGGAGGGTTTGGCTTACTGCGGTGCCTTGTGGTACTTCCCTTGTATTATTTTCTTTTTCCGTTTGTCGTCTCCTTCTGCCGCTTGAAAAGACTGGTCCTTTGGAAAATATCATAGCAAGTTTGGTGGTGAACCTGTAATTCCCATTATTGCAGTTGATCAGTATTGCTTCATTGTTTACAGAACCAAAAGCGGTTTCAAAATCTGTATGTGCTGATAAGAGGTACCATTTTTTCTCCTCTAGCTTTATTAATTTCCAAATCAGTTGTTTGCAATGCATTGATTGTGATCTGATTAGGTCTGTAGCCTATTTGAGCTCTGTCTAATTTACTGTCTTTGTAACTATGAAACAATTTTTCTGTTGATCATATTCTCGAAAAATTTTCCTAGATGTGAGATTATGTTTATCTTATGTTAGTGTCTGGGAGTTTTAGTAATGCAGGTTTCAGTTTAATCCTTTGGGAATGGGGAAAGTATATTGATAAATTGAGATGCCCTATTGCAAGTTTTTCTTGTTAATGTAATTCTTAGGGCCTTTGTTGGAACCCATTTCATGTCAGTATCTTTTTCTCTGTAGCTCTTTTTATTCTTAAAGTATTTCCACTATTATTTCTCACTTATTATTCTTATTTTTTTTTTTCTCTGGATAATCCACTTGGAATATAGTACTATTTGTAGACTGTTTTTGTTTGAGGTTGGTTGTTTACAATTTATTTCTTAATCTATTTTTTTTTTTGGGGGGGGGGGGGGGTTGAGGGGTTAGTGAATTTGTTTAGTGAATCTGTTAACCTCATATGCATAAAGTTCTGGAGTTCACATTAGTGACTTCTATCCCTGTCATGGTTGTGTGCCTTTATAATGGACTGTTTTTAAAGTTTTAAAGGGATACGTGCGTGCGTGTGTGTTTTTTTGTTTTCTTCACCCATCAGTAAGGGTGATAGGGACCCGTCAGTAAGGGTAATAGGGTAAGGTAGGGATTAGCGAAAGGAGAAAAGGGAGTGAGGGCGACCACAACAGTTTCAGGAAAAGAGTCAGGAGGGAGAAAATACAGGGAAGGCGGTTGTTAACCCAATGCTGCCAGGGAAAAGGAATAAAAAATGGGGAAAATGCTATGCATTTGTTGGGAGAAGGAAACATTTCCTGAACAAATACTGAGGGAAGGATGAGGCTGGACTGTAATGTTTGAAAGTTGAGTCAGATAGGGTTGAAATTGCTTTGGTTTGAGATTCAGATGTAACAGACAAGGCGGGAATAATTTGGGTGGGTGTGGAAGGACACTTTGCCTACTTTTTTTTGATGGCAAAAGGAAGCTTTGCCTACTTGTTTTTGGAGGCATTGCTGGAAGAGGTGAATGTTGTCAAAGTACAGGTGGACAGTAAGGAAGGGAGGGGTAATAGATAATGAAGAAGACTGTGGAGTTGGAGATAAAGAAGTAGAGGATTTTGGTCTTTCCTTTCAACATGGCTCTCACACTTTAGGGAAGTGAATTGTAGAAAGGGTTGGAGAAGAGAAAGAAATGGAAAGGGGAAGAAGAAAAGACCGTGCAAAATTAGTCAAGTTGAGTGCCGAGGCCCATGGCAGGGGTGATTCCCATTATTGGGTCCTAGTCTCCATTTTCTAACCTCTCAGGGGAACAATGTACTTAAGATTGGGTGGGGGGATGTAGGTCGTGTCCATATGGATTTTTTTTTATTTTTTTTTGTCCATATGAGATTTACTAGAAATTGTTTTTATGTATCTGTTAACCATTTTAGGTTCTGCAAAATTGTCTCAGTTTTACTTCTCATGAATTATTGCATGTGTTGAAATCCTTCTTGAATTGTAGTATAAGAGTAAGCATAAGTTTTGAAAACTATATACCCAGCAGTGTCTACAGAAGTCCTCTTATCTCTCCAGTTTTTAATCTTTTGGAAAAATCACTAATCTCTGATACTTTGGAATAATTTCAGGAAACCTGCAGGCTGGAGAGCTTGGTTTTGCAGCTTTGCCAGGAAAAGAGGCTAACTTCAGGGAATCGCTTGAACGATCAATACAATATGCAAAGGCACTTGGCTGTGGCAAGTATGATTAACTTGGTTTTTTAATACAACCTCATTGCTATTATTTCTTACATAACTATTTTTGTCAGGGTATCTAATTTTTATTAAGATGAACATAGGAATATTTAATGTTATTCATCAATATTATTGTGACTGAGAGTAATATATTGAGAAAGAAACTTACATTGCACTACTAATTCTATATACATACTATTTAAAACTTTAAGACAGTTGATGCCAGAACTCATTGTGAACATTCATACATTTAATTATATATGTAGGCTGATTACTTGTCTGCATTCTAGATGCCAGCAAATAACATTGATAATAGTGATATTTTTTCCTTTATGCTACCTTGTTTGGATACAGGAGAAGGCCTACTATAATAATGATTTATTGAAACAGGTTGCACATAATGTCTGGACGCCGAAGCAAAGACCACGATGAGGAAACACACTTAGCTACCTTGGAAGCAAATTTAAAGCATGCTGTCAGCCGCCTTTCTGCAGAGAACATTATTGGCTTAATTGAACCATTGAACCCTGTATCTACTCCTGGCTATTTCCTCAATAGTTTTGAGACTGGTAAGAATTCATTTCACTGTAACAGTATTGTGTGTTTAAAACTTTTAAGCTAATGGATTTTTACTTGAACATCAGGTTCATAGTATGTATTACTTTCATATTTCTACTGTTATTTATTAAATTAGGTCAGATTAAACTAAAAAGTACTAATCCTGTTACTCTTTCAAAATCTCTCTCTTTAGGAAAACAATGTAAAAAAAAAGACCTGAAGAAATCATCACAATAAACAGAGATCTTTGGATTTAGTAATTTTTTTGATAAAATATATCTAGATATATCATGATTAAAAAAGGTCTTTCTTTTGTAGCCCAATTGTTGATAGAGAAGATCAACTCACCCCATCTGAGGCTGCAGCTAGACATATTTCACATGCAGATGATATGCGGCAATGTCACCAACAATATCAAGAAGTTCATGCCTATTGTGGGTGAGTAAAGGATTTTGAATATCAACATGGACTGCCTGTGCATATCACCCACACCCATGTAGATTCAACTTTAGACAAGACATCTGTGAGGTGTGAGCTTTGTTACAACTTCTTTAAATTTCCCTTTTCTGTTCTATTCATAGAGTAATTGATAGTGTAAAAAGAAAGAACTATTGGTGTAACTGGTATGCTGTATAGGCTATATTTGCTTGGAGGAAGAACTGTGCTGCAAGTTCAAATCTTTATTGGTTTCCAGTCATGGGCACAGCCATTCTTTCATGTCTTCAGTAACCCTGCTATAGATCTGACGTACTTCCCCTGGTATACATTGTATCATTTTACTGTATTTGAACGTACTTATGTATATTGTAAGTCACTCTAACTTCACATGAAGTATGTGTTCAAACTTGGCTAAAGTTTCATCCTTAGTCATTTAGGTGTGTTGTATGCTGCATACAACACACCTAAATGACTGCAAAGAAAAGATCTGTCACTCATAAATACATTAGGATAAAAAGTCACCCCACAAGTTGAGACATTAAGGCACTTAATGAACTCAGGAAATTGAATTATTTTCTCATATCTACTCATATCTTTCATATGCAGAGCATTGAAGGGTGGAAATCATCCACAAAATACAACTTCAACAATAAAATTTATTAAACATTATATTTCATATTTTATCCAATGTCAGTATAACAAATCCTGGCTTAATTAATATAGAACAATTAATATACACAACACCAAATTATAAATATAATGTCTTGATTGCATGAACAAACTCCTTGTCATCTACCAGGATAGCTGTCACTGCTGTGTCTGGATACACCATCATTGCCATTGATAGGCTTGTGAATATCAGTGGCTGTAAAGATAAAAAGTCATCAATAATACAGCGGCGTGGTTATGTGATATATAATTTATATATATGGCAATACATTTGTTATTATTCTGTATAACTTCATTAATAGAAAAAATTGTATGCTGTGTGATGCCTTAGTTATACAAGAGACCAGATACCTTAACAGGTACTATTCACAGTAATTATCGCCTGTGCACTGCTTAGGTTCAAGAACACAATGGCAGTATTGTATGACATGCCATATGCATAATGTAAATGCTGACACGTGATGGAGTTATTGCATCAGGCCATTTAGAATTGGAGGAGATGCCTATTGTCCATAAAACTTGAATGCTTATGCATAAAGAGAGAAAATAACATTCTAAAAAGTAGACAGTTTTGTCAGCAGCTAGCCTACAAGACACGCACTCTGCAGACCGGCCGCTCATGTAAGCCTAATGCCAGCATTTTGAGCCATGTGAATGCCATGAAGCAGGGTCCTCATGGGTTAACCCCTTCCCCCTCTTACTAATTACATTTGCTCCCTCTGTTTATCCTCTTCATTATCATACTATCTTGCAATGCTCTACAACCTTTGACACTTAACACATTTTATCCTAATAGTTAACTCATTTTAATTTTTGTTGTCACAATAACTTACCATAGTGGTATATGATGTAAGATATCTGGCACATTTATTTCTTATTAATCTGTGGTTTGGGTTCAGTAGACAGAACATTAAAGAAACCCATTTGCCCCATTGGGCAAGAATACATGCCATGCCCACTGTAATACAAGTTTATTTATTGTATTTACACATAGATGGCTTTACAAGTTCTTAATCACCAAATAGCCAGTTATTAGAACTACCTATCTCACCTGTTTACTCTTTCACTTTAAGAAAGGGTCTTTTGTATCATTTTGTTGTCTAAAATATTTTAATGACAATTTAATAATCATAACATGAATAACAATAATAGCAGTATCAATAGCAAAGGTATTAATAAGAAAAACACATTTTCCCGACAATTCGAGGAATAGTGAAATCAAGATCGGTAACTAGGGTCCACTGATAGACTCCTTGCTGGCTGAACACGTGGTGCCATTTGTTGTATGTAACAAAATTCACCAAAAACTACCGGGGCAGAACATAAATCCAGGGCTAATGGGTTAAATTATACTTGTTTTCAGTGTTCAAGTAAAATATGTTATTTTCCTGCATATTATTACTACTTTGCTTTCTCTAAATCAGTTTATACATATATCATTAATTTCTTCATATTTTAGAAATTTAAGATTAGAAAATGTTTAATTGTTTGGTCTTATCTTCCAGTTGCCACTAGGCCTTGTATAACACACTTAAAAGTGGTAATTAAAGATTTTTAATAATACTCCCAACTATACAACAATAGGTTGGATTAGGATAAATTAGTAAGGTGATATGCTTCAAGCCTGTAGATAAAAGCAGTTAACTTGATACAATATTCCGTGCTGTATATCTAACTTACAAAATGTTTTGTGTTCTACTGTGGAAGTACTTTTGTGGATGATGAGAAGTTGTGATTTTTCAATGTCTTCACTTTATCCATGTATCTATTATTCATTAGTTCATCAGCTCATGTGATGAGATCCTTAGGATTTTGTCCTGGTGTTTATGCTACAGTTATCTGCAAATTGGATGAATATGAATAATCCACAAGAGACAACTATATCTTCTTGTATAATGTGTAGTAAAAGATACCTATCACCATTAATGCCCACCAATGTTAACTGCTAGTTCCCAGAGATATGAAGTTTGGTTTGAGATGGAAGTCAAAGTGTAACAGGAAATCCAATAATTTGTGACGCTGTATGATATTACCATAATGTCTGGGGTTATGTGGAAAAACAGTTTATGGACATAAGACAAATAAACAAACAAACAAAACAAAACAAAAATTTTTTATTAAGGATTATTTCCAAGCATAAAGTGGGTAGTGCTTTCTGGATATCCCTGTTTTATAGATACTGAACATTTATATCAAAATGCTAAAATAAAATGTACCCTAAACAATTTTACTACTTACAGATTAATGAAAGCAGCTCTTTACTAATTTTCACTCTCAAATCAGGTCATGTGCAGGTTGCCCAGGCACCCCATCGCCACGAGCCCTCTTGCCCGGGAGAACTCGACTACCCTTACATATTTTCAGTTTTACGAGAGGCTGGTAAGTAGCGAGAATTGTTCCCTAAAACTGAGGAAAGAGAATAATAATCAGACAGTTTGTTACATTAAATTAATTGAATGAATTTAGTTATATAACAAGTGAAAAATTCTATATAAAAAAAACAAACTTGATGAACCTAAGTCAATAATTATTCATTAATGATAACATACTATAATACCGTAGCTTATTTATGCTTTTTTTTTTTTTACCAAATAGAAATTAAATTGTCAATTAATTTAATTTAAATTAAACTTGTCAATTACAGGTTATGAGGATTATGTTGGTGCTGAATATAGTCCATCAACAAACTCGGCCAATTCTCTACAGTGGTTGGAGAAATGCCAGTTGCATTTTTAGACTAGAAATATTTTTAAAGGATGGTATGTGTATATATAAACTCTGAAACAATAAAATACGTGCCACTATTAATCGATGCTTTTACCCGTGATGGCCTTATTTTAATCTCTTTGTGATATTTTTTACTAACCACTGATGTCCATGCTATTGATGTAACTTTGTTTATCAATGATTAAGTCAAGATCACACTGAATATAGTCCTTGTATATTATTTGTGGGGTGGGGGGGAGGGAACATATGAGAACAGTTATCTGCCCTATCAACATAGAAGCTAACATAATAAAATAAATACTTGCAACAAAAGGCTGTCATTCCATTAATCTTGGCATAACTGCTGTGTGAACATGTAAGACTTGGAGACTAGGAGACAAGGACAGGGAACCGCTCGGGGTAGTGGTCCCCACCTGCCAAAGAAAAAATCCTTTGAAAGAAGGCACCATCCTAACCCTAAGGAAGATGATTATGTAAAATATACCCAATGGTTGGGGGTACCTAAACAGTAATTATAGAGCACGAGTATGTCTAGAGATGTAGGGTAACATCTGTGCAGGTAATCAGGGACATTTAATGTAGGTTTAAAGAGCAGGACTAAAGTTGTTCATTGACTACATGCTGCATGGTGCAAGAAATTGTAGTTTACAAAAAATTAATTGACACTTCTTTTACAGTACCTGAACAGATAGTACTATTTTATGTCCACTATAGTTAATAACTTCATACAATTCTTTTCCATAACAAATCTCAAACTTTCATTTTGGATGGACTTGCTGGAGAGCATACTAAGCAGTAAGCAATTATAAACAAATCC